TGAATAAAACAGCTACAGTGCTCTACCCATGCAGCCAAGTAGAAAGGCGGTGACCCGTCGAAAGCAAAAGAAAAAAAAAGCTGAGAGAAGCAGAGATAGAGGGACTGATCAAGGCATCAGCACCATCATTTAAAGAAAAAAAAAGCGACAAAACAGGATTCGGCGTGTTCCTCCTCGTACGCCTTGGCGGCAGCCCAGAGCAGAAAGCGGCAAACCACAGCAGGCTCCAAGGGCTCTTTCCCTTCCACAGCACACTGACAAAGTGAAAGCGCCGGCAGCTCACAGTCCGCCTCTCCCCCACTCGCCTCCGCAGTGCACACATTGCTTGTTCCGCGAACCTGCGATAGCCTCACCGCCGGACTGTCGTCGGACGCCACGCAGCCTCACGCCGTCACCGACACACACACCTCGCCGCTATGTACAGACCGCTGTTGGACGTGCTTGGGAGGGCTCCCCACAACCTACAACTATCGCCACAGAGCCGCGAGGGTGCAGCGTAAATACTCGCACAAAAAGTCCCGCCGTGATGCCCGATCCCACCGCGTCCGCACCACCGTGTTGGAGTTGGTGGCGGAGCCTTCCGCCTCTCCATCTCCTTCTATGCTGCCTGCTAAACTGGGTCCTCCTCCCGCTGCTGGGGCTCCTCCTCCACGGCATCCCGGGTGTCCCGGACCCGCAAGCCCGCAAGCCTTCTTCGCCGCCCGCTGAATTCGGAGTTGGGTGCAACGTCTTCTGCCCAACCCCGCGACTTGCGCCGCCACACCCTCCAATTGAAGAGCACGAGCCCACGTGGAAAAGCTTTCCCACGCCATTAAGCCAGCAATACCCGGAGCAGCTGGTGTGTGAGCAACAATTCGGACGCGTCCAGCAGCCGGCCAGTCGACAAACTCATCGGGCACTGCACGGCACCGTCAAAACCTCGGAAATCCGCACTTCAGGACGGATTCTCGGTGCCGCCGCCTGCGGCCTGATTTCCCTGGGCCCCTGCAACCCCTCCCGAATTGCAGGTGCACGCACCACCACCACCACCATTATTATCAGCCTGGCCCCTTCCGCAGAGGAAAACACACATCAACACTCGGCTGCAGCTGTGACCTGCTGGAGGTCTCTGCGGGAAGAGGCTTGCGGTGGCGTGGGCTGCGACAAGACTCCTTTGGTCCGGCAGACTGCGCACCTGCATCTCCCTCTTGCCGGGCTGGGATCTCCCTTCATTGGTTTCCACCGCCCGTTGGCTGCTCACCTCATGAATACGGAGTAGCTGGCGGCGCGCTGCAGCTGAATTTTTTGGCCGTTCAGCTTGGCCCCAGCGCACTCGTGCGGGTGGCGCGGCCCGACTCACGCCCCCCGAGTGCCGCCCATCCCGCGCGGAGGGCTGCCGTGGCCGCATCAAAAAGTCCTCAAGGAGACTCCGGGCCCCCGGCAACACCGTGAAGGAAATCATTCAACCCCGCAACACGGCAAACTTCGCACGGTGGTCCCAATCAAAATCAAACAAATGGAATTCTCCCCCTTCCACGATGAAAACGCTTTCCGCGTGGGACGTAAGATTTGGTGCAGATGCCGGACGGAAATCAAATGAATACGCCGCTGGTACGTTGCGCCGCCCCCAAGCAGGGT